GAAGGGCTGGGGGCGCCACCTGCCCCCATCTGGTTGTGGCGACCTGGCTCCGGCCTCCACCTGACAGCCGCAGTCTATCCCCAGCCACCATGCTCCTGGGGCAGACCCTGCAGCTGGCCCCAGTGACCCTGCCCTGGTAGCCCAGCTCGGGCTCCAGCTCCAGCTCCTGCCCGGCAGCCCAGCCCTGGCATTGGTGGCCCACCTCAGGTTTCGGCGGCGGTAGCACAGTTCTGGCCATGGCAGCCTAGCCAACAAGGCCTCAATCAGGGCTCTGCTCCTATCTGGCTGCAGTGACCACTCCCTGGCCCCAATCCTGAAGCAGGCCCTGTGATCCGGCCCCCATCTGGCTGCAGGAACAGCTGGCGGCAAACTGCCCTTTTCCCGCTGCAGTGGGGCGTAGACGGGGAGGCCACGATCCATCCGTGGCAATCCTGGCCTGGCCTCTCTTCCAGCAGCCCCATCCCAGCCAAGTAAAGTAACCCTGCCCCAGGGCTCTCACACATAAATACTTCCCACTTCCAGCCCCCTGCCCTAGCTCTGGAACCCCCCCACACCCTAGCCCCTTGCCCTGAGTCCCTCAAACACCCCAGCCCTGACTTCTGAACCCCCCACATCCCCAGCCCCCTGCCTTGAGCCCCTCATATACCCCGACCCTGACTCCTGTACCCCTACATCCCCAGTCCTCTTCCCTAACACTCCTGAATCCCCCATACCCCAACCCTGTGCCCTGAACCCCTCATACACCCCAGCCCTGACTCCTGAACCCCTCCACACCCCAACCTCCTGCCCTGAGCCCTTTATACATCTGACCCCCCCCGCCCTGAGCCCCTCATACACTCCAACCCTGATTCCTGCACCCCCCATGTCCCCAGCCCCCCACCTCCCCCATACCTAATCCCCTGCCCTGAGCCCCTCATACATTCCAACCCTGATTCCTGTACCCCCATGTCCCCAGCCCCCCCATACCTAATCCCCTGCCCTGAGCCCCTCATACATTCCAACCCTGATTCCTGTACCCCCATGTCCCCAGCCCCCCCATACCTAATCCCCTGCCCTGAGCCCCTCATACATTCCAACCCTGATTCCTGTACCCCCATGTCCCCAGCCCCCCCATACCTAATCCCCTGCCCTGAGCCCCTCATACATTCCAACCCTGATTCCTGTACCCCCATGTCCCCAGCCCCCCCATACCTAATCCCCTGCCCTGAGCCCCTCATACATTCCAACCCTGATTCCTGTACCCCCATGTCCCCAGCCCCCCCATACCTAATCCCCTGCCCTGAGCCCCTCATACACTCCAACCCTGATTCCTGCACCCCCCATGTCCCCAGCCACCCCACATCCCCCATACGTAATCCCTTGCCCTGAGCCCCCTGCTCTTCACCCCACACTTAAATTTCTTACAGGTATTGTTGTATCGCAATCCCCACCCCTACCCCCGGTATAAGGCCCCCCTCCAAGGGGGGCAGGTTGTGATGGAATAGTACCTGTAAGAAATTTAAGTTACGTTCACCCCTGAAAATAAATGCCCATGCCATGCTGCATTTACACAGCTGATACTGCACTCAGCTGGGTTGCACATTGCCCCTCTGGCCAGTGTTGGCAACATGGTCTGGCTAACCCTGACATTTAAAGGGAAGGCTGATTGCCTGTGTTAATTGATGAGTCCGGGTCATTGTTCCTGCTGTTGGTGTCACCCCATCCCTATTTACATGTCAGTGCTACTGAACAATGTTGAATTAGCACTGGACACATACCGCTTCCATTTAGCTACAAAATAGGGAGCAATAATGCGAACTTCCCCAATGTGCTCTACAAATATGCCACACCCCTGTCTTGCCAGGACTGTTTACATTTTCAGGCCCAGTGTTTGGCCAGGCTCTTGTTTAGACCACTATCACTAATGCCACTTGCTACCAGGTATGGTTGCACTGGTGCTGTGGATAGCTAAGACCTCAGACACACCTCACATGCACCATCCGACATAACTTGCTCTTGTATAGCATTAACTCATGATCCTATATATTTTTGTTAATCTCTAAAGTTCCACAGGACTACTCGTTGCTTTCATCTCTATTATTTATGGTACCATAGCATGTGGGAGCCCCAGTCATGGACCAGCACTGTGCAAGGTGCTGTACCAACCATAAATCTCAAAGCACTTTACAAAGGTGGTCAGGATTGTTGTCCCCATTTTACAGATGGGGAAACAGAGGTGAAGTGGCTTGCCCAAGGTCACCTCACAGGCCTGCAGCTGAGTAGGGAATAGAAGCTATGGATTCTGCATCCCAGTTATAGTGCTCTGACCACTAGTCGGGTGGAACCGACAGCCAGCCACAAAGAAGCTCCATATTGCTTCCCCTTCCACACCTCTCCCCAAACTCGCACCTGTCTGCAGCCAACTGTAAGAGTCTCAGTGACAATTGATCCTAACTGGTATGCTGTAGCTTGCGGCAGCTTATGTGCCATCCCGGGCGCTTTGTTCATGGAGAAGATACTACCTTAGAAAAACATTCTGGGACAAATTCTGATCTGGGATGCTCTTGCGGTTCTCCCTTGATGCCAGTGGGAGCTAAGCATACAGACGAGACAGAATTTGTCCCTTCAGTGAGCAATTCCCGTAAAATGAGACATGACACTTAATGGTCTCTTTATTGTTATTAATC